TAGCAAGGAGAGGATCTCAGAATGGGTAGCCTTCAACGTCGCCTTAAAGTCAGAGGAAACATTGAGCGATGGAAGTATAAGTGCTTGCGCCATTTTGTACTTAAAAGCTCAAACTTCTCCTTTTGTTTGGGAGCACTAACCTTACCGATATCCATGTCCATGAAAGAAACATATTCAAGCATTGATTGCTTGAGAGTTTTCATATTTTTTTCCGAAAAAGTAGAAGACGTAGCATAAGGATGACTGGTAGAAAAGGGCATGATGTCTTTACTTGTCCCCAAGAAGTGAACAAGTCTCGGATGGAACGCACAATGGCATTGGCACCCTACAAGGAAAAATGTCAATATTTAGTATCTTTATTGCAATGAACGAAGTGAAAATAAAAGTGAAGCAAAATGTTACCTCATCAGCAACCTTGGGAGGTTCAGGCACATCATCAGTTAGCTCTACCACCTGTGGAGATTTCTCCTTATCTGGACGAGTAGACTCTGCCACAACGGGCAGATCCATGGAAACCTCTATAGAATTCAAGAAGTAATGAATCGAAAACCAGCAGCACAAGTAAGGGTAAAAACACTAAAATATGTATTGCCTTTCGGTTCGACACTTGGCAGGTCAATGCCCTAGGAAGATGGTAGCTCTTTAATTGGTTGTAATGAAGACTCCGGAACTAAGGATTTCTCTTTAAGCATGGTCCCTTCATCAGCTGATTTGGATGAAGCAGCTTCAGCAGGAGGCGATGAAGCAGGAGCTGCTAAGACCAGAGCCTTCGAAGGGGAAGCTGAACTCTTCTGGAAAATTCAGGTAAACCATTAGTAAATGGAGAAGGAGGTTTTGTGAATAAACAAACTCAATTACCTTTCTCCTAAGGATGAGAGAAGCATCATCATCATCGTCAACCTGTAAAATTGGAGAAGCTGAAGCTGGCCATTTGCGGCTGGGGGCGCCTTTGGCTGTAGTAGCCTTAGTAGGTGGATAATCAAGTGGAAGAATGAGATGTTTAGCGCGAGCAGGTGAGGAGGGATTCTTAATAGACACAGGGGTAGCCAGATTAGGAGAAGTAGAAGAAGTGTTGGTTTATCTAGCGGATGGAAGGTACGGTGGCATCAATTGTGAGCAACATGCGCTTCACAGATAGTCAGAGTTGGTCAAAAAGGGGGTGTGTGACATCGGTAAAATTGAAAGGGGCTAAAGAGAGGGCTAAAGAGAAACCTTTGGCCAAAAGATTATTATGGACGGCAATGGCTTGCGCCTCAATTTTATTGATAGTATGGAAATGATCTGTCAAGTTCTTAGAATAACAAGGAAGAACATGCCACATTTGGCCAAAATCAAGTTGGCGAGCGAAAAATTGGAGAGCGTATATTTCAACCCCTGTTTTGGCATTTGTTCCTGTGATAATGTCATGGAATATTTCTATTCCAACCAAAAATTGAACCCAAATGGGTAAGAAAGTGCTCACTTCAGCTAAGGTATAAGGATGTCGCACATAGAGAGGGACTTGGTGAGGAGAAAAATGGAAGAAGGAAGGCGTTGAATTTAAAGTATAAAAGAATATAAAAAGGTCTCTACTGGACATATTTACAAAGCTCAATTGATAAATTAATAGCCTGTGTAGCTAACTGTACGAGGAAGAGATGGTGGAATACCAAGATGTGGAAAATAGGCTCTCAAAGACAATTGACCAAGCCAAAGAGACCCACTGCTAGTGGGAGATGCACCATTCCTTAATTGGAATTGGAGAGAAGTCATGCCTCTATAAAAGACGACAAAAAAGAATGAACATAAATTCAAAGCCTGCCACGTGCCAACTCATGCGATAAAGGCAAATAACTCATAGAAGGTTTCAGGTTGGGGACACAAAGAACATATTTACAGAGCCGACCTGAAGAAAGGCCACTCGTTCAGCATGAGTAGGCTCATAATTGGAAACGGTATAAAAGCCTTGCATGCTTGAATAAGATTCAGTAATTTTCTTGTCAAACTTTGGGGCAGCACTGAAAATCAAAATACCAGGAAAAATAGTATCGCCCAAAGGCGAAAGATTTACTAGGGCTCCAACATCCCTTAGAGTAATGGACATTAGGCCAAGAGGGAAAACAAAAGTGTTGTACTCTGAGGACCAAAAACTCAGGACGATTGGAAAAAGCATTAGGTCATAAGTTGGGAGGAAATGGGTAATTTCTAATAGGTCCAAAATATTAGCATGATCAAAAATTACTTTGGTGGGACCATGATTTACCGTGCATGCTATCTACGAAAACTAGGATCAGTTTTTGGCCAAGTACGAATACCTTTATCGCGGATTGGCTTCAATAGCAAGGAATTTAGAAAAGGAGGGTCTTCAGTGCAAAGGAATAGTTGACCTACCATCGCTTGTCCAACAGCTTTAGCATCATTGAATCATGGGCCTAGATAGAATTCATTGAGATCAGCATTGGCTAGTGCAAGGAAGTTTGAATTTATATACGGTCTAGTAAGGAGGTTTTGGAAATCCTCTAAACTGAAAGAATCATCAGGATGAGTTTGTGAAGTCGCCATTGGATGTAGANAAGTTTGAATTTATATACGGTCTAGTAAGGAGGTTTTGGAAATCCTTGAAACTGAAAGAATCATTAGAATGAGTTTGTGAAGTTGCCATGGATGCAAGGTACAGATATTGTGAAGGGTTTTTGAGAAGCATAGTAAGGAAGCAAGACAATAAACAGTGACCTTTATAGAACGCACGATGTAAAGACGTAAAGGTAATATGAAGTGGCATGTCTTTTGGGTTCATATGGGTGTGTAACAATTACACCTTTTCAGATTATAGAAGGGTTACAGCCAAACAGAAATAATGATTGAATTCTTGGAAATTTCAAGTATTGCTGAAAAATACAAGGGAAGAATATGGCAAAAATTAATAATTGGTATTAATTCTACCATATTGGGGGGTAATTGTTGACATACAAAAAGTGTAACCCAAATTGAATAGTCCAAGGGATGAAGCCCAGTTAGGAAGTCTAGGATGAAGACCTAAATAAGACTATTAATGAATGCAGTGGAGGCCCACGAACAAGGTATCATCATCGCCCAAGCGTGCAAGACGTCCAGGATTTAAACGAATGGAGTGCCTTAGGATTGCATAGAGCAAATGAGTCCGTTCTCGCCTAAACCTTCGAATCGCCCATGATCTTAGCAAACATGAGGTATTATGGTTATCCAGAACAGCAGTTATTAAACAACCTTATTACACCCCACGATCTAAGAATCACAGTTGTAGGCAGTTAAACAACAAGAGTAATGGCAACAGTTAGAGATGGCAGTTCCATGACAAGTCGGCTATCATAAAGAAAGTGGGTAGTTATAGAGCATCAAGCAGTTTCCAAACAGTTTTTCACAAATAAACTGTCAATGGAATATAAAACGAAAGGAAGACATAGGGAAGAAGCCCCTCAATCAAACACTCTCAATAGAAAATATGTAATTTCAATTTCTTAATTTAACTTTAAAACACTTCTTTTAGTACTCGTGTGCTTGCGCCCCTTGGAGGCATTCTGTTTATTTCCAATTGTAAATCTTCACCACTAAAGCACCCATTTTGGGGACTTTGTTTCAAGAGGTCTGTTCCTTACACAATCATCTGTATCTTTTTTCAATTATTAGCGACTACCTACGCGAAACGGTATCTTTCTTAAAATCGGTTGATCACTTATAGGTTCAGTTGGTGGATGTACATGCAGAGTCGTAGGAAAATCTATCATCTATCTGAG